TCGTTTATTAATTTATTAGAGGCTATATATGCAAACGACTGCTCTAGAATTTTTACTAGAATATTTCTAGTGGCAAATATAAAATATAAACCACTGTAAAAACCCTGTTGGCATAAAATGTTTTTTGTGTGGATTGGAGAGTATTGGTGGTCCCTGAGAAGACTGTGATTTGTGCATTAGGCAGTGTCATTTGAGAAAAAAAATGAAGCTGGCCTGAGTCTTAGCAGATTGTGAAATCATGAAAGATTTTGTCATTCTCATTTGAACTATCCTAAGACTGGCAAGATTATAGGTGAGAACTCACAAATCTTGTAAGGGTTGATGAGATATAGTTTGGCAAGGGAAAGAGATGTCCTGATTTGCTCCTTTAGTATTCAGCAAGTCATCATCCTTATGGGCTAATGCTTTATGCCTTCTCTTCTTGATCACCCAAGCTCCAGATTACCCAAGACATTATAGCAATATCTCCAACTGTATTAGGAAACACTTAGGAAATACTTGCATCTTGGACAGGCAACAGCTACTAAATTGGCATCTTAAATAACAGGCAGATTATAGGCAGATTAAAAAAAAAGCAGACCTATTTAATCAACTGGGGTTTCTATAGAATAGATCATCATGATTAGAAGCCAAGATAAAAAGGACAGTCTTACTACGAGCTTCAAGAATGGAGAGAAGTAGCAGCTTTAGTTCAGTCTCATCCATACAGATGGATTTGTTCTTCACAAGCAAAACTGATCATTTGCAAAGATCCACCAGAACTTGAAACTTTGATGTCTCTAAATGCTAAGTGTTCCTTAATTCTAATCATGCCATGGTTCTGTTGCAAGAGACAATGAATTTGCAGTAGTTTTCCCTCCCAGCCCTGCTTTAAACTTGTGGTTCTGTAGACCAGGGGTCTTCAAACTTGGCCCTTTTATGACTCGTGGACTTCACCTCCCAGAATTCCTCAGCCAGGCATGCTGGCTAAGGAATTCTGGGAATTGAAGTCCACAAGTCATTAAAGGGCCATGTTTGAAGACCCCTGCTGTAGACAGTCATTTGAGACAAAATCTACAGAATGCCTCATTGGGAATGGACTCATAGCCTCCCTCTCTTCTCTCCACAGAGTTATCATCTACCTGGACAAGTGTTGAGAGGAAAAATGGGCTGCCTTTTTTCTGGGTTTCTTGACTATTTACATTTCCCTGTGTTTGCTTATATATTTTATATCCAATCAAGTTTGATTTCGTTGCTTGATTTGCAATGTCTCTTTCAAATGAAGTCAATTTTTGGTGACTTCATTGGACTTCATATTGTTTTCTTGGTAACCATAAGGATTTTTCAGCTATTTAGCCTAGCCTACAGTCCTGGATTCTCATCCAAGCACAAACAGGCTCAAATCTGCTAAGCTTGTTTAGATCAGTCATGGTTGGTTAGCTATTTATTTGGCTTGAGACAGCACGAACTGCTCAAAGCAAGGTTCCTGACAGTCCCCAAAAAAACAGCCTTTGGATAAACCAGCACAAGGACAATGTCACAAGTTGATGGCATAGTGGAGTCAAAGTCTATTGGAAAAGGAAATTGCCCAGGAAACTATTCATTCTAATATTTTTATTATTAAAATAAAGACTTTTAAAATAGTTTATCTATTCAAACACTCCAAATATTCCTCCTGCCTGGCCTTTAAAAATAAAAGCTTTGAAATCTTTGCTGTTACTGCTGCTGTTATTCTTTTTACTATTCCAAAACAATATTAATTATTGTAATAATTACAGCACTACTTTCTGCTACAAAGAAAGTCACTTTTCCCAATGCTCAAGTATTAGGGACTTCTGTTAATGTGATTAGGATGCTGTGATAACTTCCAAATCCTTTAAGGATTCCTTTGTTAATAAGCATTGAATATATCCTTACATTTTAAAAAATGTCAAGCTGAAACCATGGTTCCCATGACTTAGTAAAACAGCTTTTTACTTCCTTGATGGGACATCCTGTTTCAATACTGGGACTCAAACTCATGTGGGTACAAGTCTCAGAATGCCCTGTGAGATTATTAACATTTGATTTTCAAAAAGATGGACTCTATTGCTGGGAGCTGAAAGATATGCAAAGGGCAAGGTCCAAACACTTGGCCAGCCCAGAAATGAAAGCAGGTCAAACTGTATGGATTATGGCTATAATTCAGAGGATCGTGAGCTTTTGAATTCATAATAGGATCTGCTCTCAAGTCTATGAGCCTCGGGGTGCCAATGAATTGATACCTGCTAGAATATATTTTTTTCTGGTTGTCTGATAAAAATAATGTGTGGTGGTACCCTTCTTGGGCAGGGACAGATATAAAACAAGTAAGTGCAAAAAAAAAAAAAGGACTTGGTGGATCCTTTTTGAACATGAGCCAATAATGTGATGCTGCTGCAAAAAACCAAATGCAATCCGAGCCTACATAAACAAAAGTTACAATCAAGACAAATCATCCTTTCCTTACATTTTGCACCTAGACAACACCTAGAATACTGAATCCCATTCTGAAAAGCACATTTTAGGAAGAACGTTGACAAATTGATCTCACATGTTAGACAATGGGCATGATTCAGAGACTTGATTTCATACACTGAACTCTTTATTTCGTTCAACTGGATTTACTTTCACCCCAATATGCATAGAATTAAGAGCAGAACTATCTTACTATACCTTGAACATTAATACATAACCAGCTGGATCAAGCAGAAGACACTCATCTGTGTGTACTTAAATTGTGCAGGCTGAAATGCACATCATTGGATCTTGCATAGGCATGAAGGATTATCTCTGGAAGATGGTTGCAGAAAACAGCAGGCTGAAATTCAAGAATAAGCTTAAAAAAATAAAGACATATATTGTACAGAAGAAATCTGGGGGCTTCCTAAACCAATCTTCTTCAATTTGGTGCTTCCATTCATAATTTATAATGTCTATGTTGTTCAACATATTTGGAAACCACCAGATCAGGGTGAAGCTAATTTAGATAATTTAGCCAAGGAAACATGAATATATCTTTACTTCAATGAGACAATTAGATGCACACTTAATTCCCCCTTTAAACTGAGGGCACTTAGGGTTCACTGGATGACCCAGGTGTAATGGGAAGGCACATCCCATCACTGTGTGTTTTCATAATTGAGTTAACCAGACCCATTAAAAAAGGAAAACCAGTTCAAATTGGCAACTTAAATAAGTTCACCTTCATGCTTAATTTGAGAGGGAAGTTCACCTCCTTTCCCACACACACCTTTCTTACTTTCTCTGAGAGACTGCTGAAAGTGCCTTACACATTATAATTACTAGGTGTGGAATGGAAACTCCTCACTTTGAAAAGGCAATACAAATCCCCAAGGTAATTACTATTTATGTTGTATAAGAGAGAGACTAACATATTGCTTTGCCAATCCACATGACTTCCTAATATGCAACTATTACACATCCACATGAACTTTTCAATTGCCTCAACAGAGTTAAAGTTACATCCTCAAGACACACGCATGTTCTCTCTCTCTCTCTCTCTCTCTCTCTCTCTCTCTCTCTCTCTCTCTCTCTCTCATACACACACACACAAACACACACAGAGACAGAACATCTGACAGATGTTATGGAACTGGTGTTGAAAGCATCCTTATATTCTTGAAGATGGCCATTACAAAGATTTAGCTAAATAACCCCTTTCTATGCTGTTTTGGAAGATCCGGGATCCTCTAGTTTTCTTCAGCCCTTTTTGAGTAGAAATAGGAGACCACCAAATGGCTGGACAGGCTGTTATTCTAGAATTCAGGGCCTTAGGCGGAAAGAGAAGAGAATATTGCTCTGGACTCCCCCCTCCCACAAACATATAAAATTAGTTTCAATAGATTAAAAATAGATTAAATAGATTACAATAGATTAAAAAAAACATGGAGAGGGGCCTGAAGAATTTTAGGTTATTGAACTCAACCTGGGAGAAAATCCAGCTCAGCTCTTAAGATGTTTGATGGCCCACTGATTTTAATTAGAGAGATGTCCTATTTTGATGATGCCCTTAATAATAGTTACACCCATGATAAAATATTGCTACAAAAAGAGATGACAAACCAGAAGCACAACAGGAAATCACAGCCGCTCAAGATGACAAGGTCACTTTTTCTCCCCCCCAAGTCTCCTTCCTTTCCTCCCAGTACTGAATGTGAATTATGTGATTCAATCTTATGTGATTCACAAGAGGCCCACTCCACAAATGCTTGTGCATTTGAAATGAAATGAAGATATCCAGAAAGGCTACAGGGGAAAATCAATTAAATTAGTAAGTGTGAACTAAATACCTGCACCCGAGAGTGGTTTTTTGTTGTTGGTGGTTTTTTTTTTGGCAGAAACCAAATTACTGAATCTCAGGTTCAATTAATCACCAAACTTGGCAGCTGAAAATAGAAGACTGAGGGAAAGCAAGAGAATTGGCTGCACGTTTTATGTATGTTATAATTCCCTGTAAAATGGTTCCTAATTAGCCTGTTTGTTTTGTTTTGATATTTACTAGGGTTACATAATTCTCTTTGTTTTATGAAAATCTGCAAACCAACTTGTATGGCTCTAGTCAAAAGCCTGTTGAGGGAGGCTCAAGGCAGCCACAAACCTCGCATGCTGTCGCTGTAGGCCAGTGTTTCTCAACCTTGACAATTTTAAGGCATGTGGACTTCAACTCCCAGAATTCCACAGCCAGCATTGCTGGCTGTGGAATTCTGGGAGTTGAAGTCCACATGTCTTAAAATTGTCAAGGTTGAGAAACACTGCTGTAGGCATTGCTGGTCAACCCTGGGTGACCCAACCCTTCGCGTTTTCCTCTGAAAAGCCGGCGGCTGCCGAAAGTAATAGTGTTTGCTCTAAGGGAGAGCGGCCATAAACCCCGCCTTGCCGTAGCTTTCTAATGAATGAAGGCGAACAGAAGCGCCGAAGCGTCGTTTACATATTTTTTTTTTTTTTTGCCCATTGTGACGTCGGCAGACCCGGTTGCGTTCCATTCACAGCGAGCGAAGCAAGAATGAGGCTCGGCGCCGGAGAGAGAGGGGAAAGGAGAGAGGAGAGGAGGTGGGGGGCGGAGCGAGGTAGTAAAAAGAGCCCTCCCCCGCACTCGAGCGAGCGTGCGGGCTGCATTGCTACTACTTGCAGCAGCTCCGTTATTAATAACTGAGCTGATACGGGCGCGGAAGCGGGGGCAAAATGTGCTAAGGCCCTAGCCTAGCCGTTCCTGGGGCAGGAAGAAGGCTGCGCAGAGCCGGCAGCCATGGTGGAGCTACGGGAGATGGACTGCAGCGTGCTTCGGCACCTCCTGCATCGGGGGGACTGCAGCGGCGGGAGCTACAACCAAGCCGGCGGCAGCGGCACCATTAGCAGTTCCTCATCTCCTCCCGCTGGCGGGAAGTGTCTCCTCTTGGACTGCAGGCCCTTCCTCGCTCACAGCGCCGGCTACATCCGCGGCGCGCTCAACGTGAGATGCAACACCATCGTCCGAAGGCGGACCAAAGGGTCGATCAGCCTGGAGCAGATCCTCCCGGCGGAAGACGAGGTGCGCTCCCGCCTGCTTTCGGGGCTCTACTCGGCCGTAGTTGTGTATGACGAGCGGAGCCTGCGGGCCGAATCTCTGCGGGAGGATAGCACCGTGTCGCTGGTGGTGCGGACGCTGCGCAAGGACACGGAGCACACGAACATCTGCTTGCTGAAAGGTAGGCGGGAGGGAGAGGGGCGCACGAACTTAGCCGGGGAGTATATCAGGCGTTTGGACTGTGGCTCTTAAAGACCGACTTCCCGTACGCTGGTTTGAGCCAGACCGTTCAGCGGATTATGGGTTTAAAGGGGCCGGTTGGAATGTGCGGGGCCCCCGGGGTTTAAATCATAGTACAGGCACGAGAAGGACAAAGACACTGAGCATGTGCCTCTTGCCACACACACACACACACACACACCCACCCACCCACCCACCCACCCACCCCTCGCGATTTGGAATACGCAGGACTCTCAAAGCCTTGAGGTTTATAATTCGGACTGATTGGCAAGGACCCCGCCGTCGCCGCTATGCCGGAGGAGGACAGAGACCAGTCTTCGAGTCGGGCCATTTACCCTCTCTTCTCCGGGCCTGTTAAGTCACCCGGTTCATTCTCTCCTCGCTTGCAAAGGATGTGGGGACTGCCGGGGGCGGAATGAAGGGAGAGGAGGTCTAAATCCCACCCATTCGAAGGGCACAACGTGTGAGCCGCGTGTCAGGCCCCTCTCACGCCCTTCTTCACTTCCGTCTTGCGGGAGGGGACGGGGAGAGCTCGCTCTGGCGTGGTTTGACCAGCGATGACGCCAGCGGCCCGCGGCTGTTCCCTCGCTTGACTTTGCGCCCCTCTGCCCGCCACTTGACTCGGGCGTCGGGGCAAGAGTGAGACGCCTGTTGTTAGAAAACAAGCAGCGGCAGTCAGGGCGATTTGGAAACTACTTCAGCTCCTAGAGAGAATTTTTCAGCCCTGGGCCAACCAAAAAAGAAGGACCACGGGCAAGTTCCTGCAGACTCATTTCACTTAGAGGTTTCAACCTGTCCAATCCTGAGTTCTTCTCCTTCCCCCAGTTTCTCAGATTTCCCCCTCTGCCCCATGGTTTGGCAAAGAAGTCAAGAAAGAACCTAAAAAGAAGGTGAACTGTGTCCCTAATCCCCAGAAGGAGCGTGTTTTTTTTTTCTTCTCTCTAAAAGGCATTTGATCACTTTTCTGAAGAAAATGGCTTGGGGTCCCCGCTGTTTGTCAACTCAGAGTTTTCCAGGCAATCAGATTGCTCTCAAAGAAAAGTAAACAGTCCAGCAGTCAACAGGATGTGGCCTTTATACAGCTGTATGTGAGAAAAGCTGCTAGGAAATTGACCCAGAGTGAGAAAAACCATTCAGTGGCTGAATTGGGTTATCCAAGGTGTTGGGGGGAGTTAGCAAAAGCCATGCTTTGACTAATAATGGATTCCCTTATAATCTTTGCCCCTCAGCTACTTCCCCTTTCTTGCTTGGGTGTGGCTTAAGGAAACCAGGCGGTATTGGAAGGGAGGGGTATTTCCTGCCCATTTGACTTATTAGCTGGTTGTGTGCATGAAGGCAGCTGGTGACCTTTTGAATTACAAAAGCTTGGGGTGGGTGGAAGGGAAAAGGGTGAGAGATCCTGTTTTATTGTTCCCCCAAATGGCCTCTCCCCTTAGGAATGCATGAGAATAAGGGTGGTGGTAGTGGTAGAAAGTAGCCCTACGTTTTGTAGTGCCACGGCTCCAGGGACTGTATCTGTGTTTCCTGGAAGGAAGTTCTTATGGGCTTCTGTGGAATAGTCTCCAGCTCCAGCCCTGCGTCCTTAAATAGCCCTAGCCAAAATATTCCAGCTCAGAATAGGAATTTTTTTTATGGTTTCCTTCTTCTAAAGGGACATTGGAAAGACAGTGGTCATAAGCCCCATCAAATATATATTTTTTATTTTCAAAACCTTATGTTATAGATGATCAGAAAGCCCTACACTTTAATCAGTAGATTTGCTAATTACTGAAACTAATGGTGACAATGAAAAAAAAAATGAAACTCGAGTCTTGAGATAAATGGTTATAATCTCTAATATAAAGGAGGCTATTTTAAAACAGTGATTCACAGAACAATTCTTTTAATACTAAGAAAATCATGTTTAAAGCAGACAAAAAGTCAAAATAAACCAATACCATCGATCAATTTCAAAAGGCATTTGTACTCATTTGGCAGCTGATTAGTTCTTTCTGCATCTTGGCTTCATTTGTGTTTCACTTCAGTGAAATCATGAATGGGTTAGCAAGATTGGGGCTTTAAGTTATAACATTTTGTTATCTAATTAGCCAATTCCCATTATTGGAATTCTTCTTCCCATCCCTTATAGAAGCCCCATGTCCTTCTGTTTCCTGGAAATGCTTGATGTTGCAATGCAGTTTTGCTGAAAAAAAAATGACTGCTAAAGTTGGAACTGGTTGGGGAGGAGCTTGGAAAGTGGACAACTCTGCTTAGGCTCTTTATAGGCACAGCCAACTACTAGGATCAAGTATCCCTTCAGAATTTAGTTTGTTGCTTCATGATTGCCTTGGCTTCCCCTGGGAGTCATGCTAAACAAAGCTAGAATTAATTATGAACATTTGATTAATTTACCTAACTTGGTTTGGGCATGTGCAGAATATGAACCTTACTGGAAAGATGTCATTTTGCATGTAGCCTTGTAATGTATACAGTCCTGTTTTTATTTATCTAAATTCAATATTTTTTTTCACATTGGGAGTCTATTGAACAATTAAATGCAATTTATTTTTAGCTTACTGCTCTGGGAATAGTGCATTTTTGTAATAATGCTGTTCAAAGATCTCGTTCAGCAGTAGTGTTCCTACAAACCCTGAGGGAAGTGGATAGAAAATATTTTCTACTGCTTAATCTTTGGAATTGCTACATTTAGCTTTGCTTTTACAAAAGCTTCGGAACTGGGGAGGGGTGTCTTTCCTGTTACTTTTTTAGCTTCCTCCAATAGGTTTGGGGGGGAGAGAACTGCCTGCTGTAATCCAGATCTGACTAAGAGAATGAGAGATCTTTTACTGGATCAGCCTGCTTCATAGAATGTCCTACTGTTATGTGCATTTTAGCCACTTATATTATAACATCTCCTCCTGTAGCTTATGTACAAATAAACCTTGATCCATTAAGATACTTGGGATGGAAGACCGGTTGAAAGAGTTTAATAAATCAATAAATAAAATAATGGAGGAGGAAGAAGGATGATGACCTTGCACTTAAAAGCCTCCTCAGTGTGAGCATTTCTGTAGCATAAGGTGAAATTACTCATACTAAAAAATAATGTGGTGGAGAAGAGCATTTGCATTTGTGTATGAACGGTAGAACTTGCTATTCCTGGGAAGATAAAATCACAATTTGGAGAGTGCTTGTTAATGACATTTGGCAGAATTGAGATGAGGGTTGTGTGTCCATCCTTGTGCTCCATGATTTCTTAGCAGCTTTCAGTAGCACCAGTCATGGTCCAGCTGGGAATGATAGGGACTATATTATGGTGGTTATTCCTGATTTGTTGGTTGCAGTGGGTATTGATAGAGGGGGAGAGGCCATAACCACAACCTGTCATTTGCAGAATGTCTCAGGGGTTGAAAGTAACCACTTGTGTTTAACATTTGCATGATACTTCTGGGTGAGATCATCATTTGGGGATTCAGTGTGACCAGCATGGTAATGATACCCAATAACATGACTTGATACAAGGTCATCCAAGTAATGTGGTCAATGTCCTGTCTGGAGGACAGTGTCTGGAGGTTGTTCAGATCTGAACAGGGAGGAACAGACTTGGACTCAATCTAACAAGACCTAGTACTTGTGGATACTTGAGTTCCTCAGTTCAATGTACTTTCCATCTTTAGTTCTGATGGATTAGTACTTTCCCATTTGACACTCACGTGTACTTTAGAAGCAGGAGGCAGCTTTACCCAAGAAGGCTTTCAAATAGATTCATCTAGTGTTTCTGTTGTGCCCATTCCTAATTCAGGATGCCTTTAGATGACCATGCCCTAACCACCTCAAAAACAGACTCTTGCAAGGCAATCTGTATTGAACTGCCCTTGAATACCATCTAAAAGCTACGCCTGATGCAGAATGCAGTGGTGTGAGCAGTGATAGCATGCCATGTCATGCCCACATGGCACCACTGCTCTGTAAATAGCACTGGTTGCCAGTTGACTTCCAAGTGCATTACAAGTCCTGGCTATCACCTATTAATCCATCCATGGCATAGGCCTTGGTGATTTGAAGGACCACCCTTCTCTGATGGAGTGGGCAGAAACCATCAGAGACTGGAGACATAAGACACTCCAGGTTTCCTTCATCAAACAAATTAATCTATCAGAGTCTAGGAAGCATGGCTTCTCTATTGCAGGACCTGCCCTCTGGAACTGCACTCATCCAGAATGCCTTCTATCCTGATGTAGTTCTGAAAGTCTGTGACAAGCCTGCCTGACAGGTGGCCAGCTAGCTAAGCAGCTTTTGCAGCCTGACAGGGTTTTAAAGAAACTAATAAATTCACCATCACCCTGAAAGACATACTGCTGACCAGCTCCTAACGTGGCAGGTGTTCTTTTGCAGTCCATGTAGGTTGGTCTATGAAACTTGAGTGTTCTCCTAAGCCTTGAGAATGGTGGCTGTTGAGCTGCTGTAGGTTCCTTATTTTACTTGATATATATGCAGTGGTACCTTGACATTCAGTTGCTTTGAAACTCATCGAATTTGGTACTGAATGCATTTTGACAGGAAAATTTTGTCCTGGTCCGGTACTCAATGCATAAGCTAGAACTTCTTGTCGGCTGCCTTGTGACTCACTACATTATTCTTTATGGGGAAAATGTTTTTGGTACTCATTATTTTTGGTACTCATTGTGTCTTCTGAAACCAATTAATGATGAGTACCAAGGTACCATTGCAGTTTTGCTTCAGGGTGTGCATAATCTGTTTTACTATTTTGTTGCCTTCTGGAGTCCGGCAGCCTTCATAATTGTATGAATAAAATTGACCCAGAAATTGGGGATTCTACTGGTTTGCCAAATTTTGGTGGTTGTAAAGTATTTATTAAATTTATATGCTACCCATTTCACTATTGAGTGCCTTCAGAGATAGAAAATGGACTTTACACTAAGAGGACTTTGTGTTAACAAATTTGCTGTAAACTTTCCAGAAGTTAATTTGTACGGTAGCTACAACAGAAACTTTTGACACCTTAGAAACTAACAATGTATTATAAGTGAAAGCTTGTGGGAGGGGCACAAGTGCTTAATATTGACATATGGATGATTAATAATATCCTTAGCTACGGCTATATGTATATGGTGGGAGGGAAAGCAGTGAGTGGTGAAAAAGAGACACCAAAATGATAGGCAGAGTTCAAATGAAGTTTGAAGATGTAAACTACGTCATGGTAGGTTCCTTAGTAACCTTCCAACAATCATAAAAGGTCCCTTGGTAACCAAATATTCATGATCACACACTCAGTTTCACTGTTTTTAGAGTTCAGGTAGTCCTCAACTTAGAAACGGTTGCTTAATGACCATTCAAAATTATGACAAAGTTACTTATGATTTATCCTTGAAATTACAACTGCTGCACAGTCATGTGATTGCATTGCAGGCAATTGGCTCAAATTTACAAATGGTTAGAGTATCCTGCCATCACATGATCATATTTTGCTGTGTTTTTTGCTGCCTTCCCCCCCCAAAACACCCATTGAATAAGGTGGTTCACTTAATGACCATTATAAGAACAGGTGTAAAATCAGTCCAGTCACACGGTGACTCTACTTTTAATCATAATGACTTATGACCAAAATTGTGGACTTAATTGTTATAAGTCGAGAACTACCAGTATACTTACTGATGCCAAGTTAGCTGACAGCAATACATATCGGAGCTCTTGCCTGTTTCTGGCTGATTGAGTGAATGGCAGTGCTGAATTTCTAGTTTGACATCAGGAGAATGGTGTGATACATAAGAGGAGGGGATCTGGTCTACCTGATCCCAATTTACACAGACATAATATATTTTTCAGTGCCTGTGTGGAGAATCCATAGCTCGGTTCTCGGCTACAGAGGCCTTCCGGAAAGGCCTCTGACTGTGAAATGCAGGCCCGAGCTCCATTCTCAGCTGCAGAATGAAGCTGCTCCTTCGGCCCCAGAAGAAGTGGGCCGACTGGGCAGGGCTGTCAATGCAATTGTGAGTGGAAAAGACACCCCTTCTGCCCCTAAAATAAGACTTAATGCCTCTTTTGCAGGGAAAAAAATTAAGACCGGGTCTTATTTTCAGGGAAACACAGCAGCAGCTTGTTTTTCCTCTAAGGCACTAATGTAACAAATGGGAAATGGGCAGGGGAAATGGGGATCTGTAGCAGTAACATATCTTGAAGGAGATCTTTTGAAGATACCTGTGCTAAGTGCTGAGTGCATTGCCAGTCCTCTGCTAAAACTGGCTAGTTTTAGTCAGTCAGCTGGGCCTGATTAGGCTTGATTAATTGGTATGGGAGATCATCAGGGAATTCCAAGGCTGTGAGAAGTCAAAGTTCCAGAAGAAGATTTCATACCATCACCAAGAAAATGTCATGAACAGGTTTACAGTGTCATTAAAAACTTTGGAACATCCTTGACTTTGTTATCTCTTTTATTAAAATGAGTCATATCATTACCACTGCGCTGTGGCATCATCTCTTTCTCTCCTTTTAAGCAAGCATCTGGGGTGATGGGCGTTTAGTATGTAAGTGTGAATGCACATTTATGCATGTTGTGCGTATGTTGGAGGTGGGCTGGCTTCTGTGTCTACTCTATGTATCGGTAATAGTTGAATAAATCTGTAGCATCTTGTAAATGATGACCACAGCTTTGAAAAGGTGTTTTCAGCATCTTTTTTTTTTACTTTCAGGTGGTTACGAAAGATTCCGGTCAGAATATCCAGAATTCTGCACAAAGACAAAATCTCTTACATCAGCCTCTACTTTGGCACCTGTGGAGCATCTGGACCATAGCTGCAGTTCCTGTGGGACACCACAGCACGATCAGGTAGGTTGGCTTCTCCACACTTCAAAGCTGTCTGCTCTCTGAGGCAAAAAGCTTCCTTTTATTTATTGATGGCCTCCACATCCCTCTGGTGATAGACCCGGGGGTTGTCCTCTCGAGTTTAATTTAATTGTGCTTGGTAATGAGTCATATATGATGCAGAACAGCATCCAAGGTAAAAATTGTTTTTTTATCGTTATAAATCCTAAAATCAAGACAGTATTTTTCCGTAGCGAATTTCACAATCTTTCTGGAGATGTTAAGGTTTTGATTTAGTGATATAAAGCAAATCATTTTCAGAACAGATGGCACTTCTGTTGGCAAGTAGAGTTATGAGAGTTGAGCACAAGTAGTTGTAGAAAGGACACTGAAGGAACACATGGACTGGAATTTCAGGTTCTCCAAATCCACAAGGACAAGTTTTTATACTTTTCTCTAGTACTGTGGAGGTTTCTCCTCTTTTTCTTAACTCATCTTGTGAGATAGATTGACCTGAGATGTAGATTGGTCTCAAGCAATCCAAGGAGTGGTCAAGTGAAGATGTAACTCTTGGTTTTCCCATTTGCTCCAAAATGTAACCATGACATTGTTCATGTTGGGCAGTAGAAATTTAGTAGTATAATGAAGCACTAGAGGGAAATCAAAGCAACTTGTTTGCTGTGTGGTCAAAAACCACATACATTTCTTTCCCCCTGCACAGCATTGTTGACCAGAAATCTCTAGGTAATTTGTTGTTAATTGGAATACATGCTGAAAATGGGAGACAAATTCATCTAGGGTAATGTTTTTATTGCTCTTTTTCTTTTCTTCGCTTCAGCTTTTTGAAATGATAGATTCAGATGTGCTCCAGGTGGGTGTATAGTGATGCAAATCTGTAGCTCCTTGCATGCGCTTTTCAGCTTAACAAAGAAAATGGTCAGGACCTGCATATCATACATAGATGTTCTTGGTTGGACCCATGTTTTGTGTCTTGACCTCCTAAAGAAGATGTTTATTTTGGGATGCGCTGTTGGCTCTGCCCAAATGGACCTGGTGTGCAATCTGGGGATCCTTCTAGAATCACAACTCCTGCTGGAGGAGCAGGTGGCAGTCATAGCTAGGAGGGCCTTTGTATAACTTCTTGTTGTGTTCCAAATGCAATCTTTCCTGCACCCTGAGGCTCTAGTCGCATTTACTTATGCCATGGTCATCTCTAGAATGAATTACTGTAATACGCTGTAATACCATTAAAGAGTATTTAGAAGCCTTAGCTAGTGCAGAATGTGGACTAGGTGCAATCCAAGGTGCTGGATTTGACCTTTAAAAGCCCTACATGCCCTGGGACTAAGTTATTTGAGGAACTACCACTTCCTAGTTACTTCTGTCTGTTTCATTAGGTTGAGCAGCAAGGGTCTCATCTACTAAGCAGTAATATATCTGGTGGGTTCTAGGCAGATGTCCTAAGATGTGCTGTGGCCCCTGCCTTATGGAACATCATGCAACTGCAGGGGGTATGTGATACTCCTAACTTTGAGAATGGGCTGTAACTTGGGGGGGGGGCATAACTTTGAATGGTTGATAAGTGACTGGACATTAAGCAAGGACTACCTGTATTGTATAAGAGTTTGTCCTCAACGCATAGAGATTGAATCAATAAAAGTAAAACCTGGGTATGTGATATTCTTTCATTAACCTCGTCTAGACTCTTGTGTTTCAAGCTACCTTTTGGCTTGTCAAATTAGATTCAGAGATTTATATATAGATAAGAACTGAAAAGAAGAACACATAGGTAGATAGCCCCGATTGATTTCAGTTGTGAAACTGAGATAAAATAACCTGCAGTACAAAAATCATACAATAAATGTACGTTAATTTACATTAAGTTGTCAATATATTTATGCAGATGTACTGTCAATCATAGTAAAGTATCTGAATTACAATAGCATCAACAAAAACAAAGACTAGGATTGCTTTGATTAAGGTGGCTTCAAGTCTAGCAAACACTGGTTCACTAACAGGGTTCCTTGTTAATTTCTAGCGTGAATGTGTTTAATTGAAACTTGGTGACCATTCTCTGCCTAGTAATAGAAATTCTAGCCATAATAATTTTTTATTTTTCCAACTTCTCCCCATACATAAGATGTTAACGTACATTCTTTTAAAATTCATATATAAGATACTTTTAATAAAACGAAATAAATACATACACATGACTTTTGGTGTTGCTCGCCCGTTTCCCCTTTCACTGTATCCACACTCCTCCTTCTCTACCTTCTTTCTCCCTTTCTTCTCTTCCCTACTTCCCTCTTCTTCCTCTCCTCTTCTCTTTCCTTCACCACTCTCCTCTTTCTCCCCACTTCTCCTCTTCTCCTCCAACCTTCCTACTTCCTTCTCCCCTCCTTTACTCTTTTCTCTCTCCTCTCCTTTCTTCCCTCTCATCCCTCTTCAGATACAATTCAGGGGTAATGTCCGAGCAAGTCCTCTCTCCAAATTTCCCTATCTGTATTATATACAGTAAGATTAATTTTCTCTTACATTAATACTTCTATTTATCTAACCTTCTTGGTATATACTTCTTTAAATATTTATACAACCTCCAGTTATTTCTCTGCCTAGTAATAGAAATTCTAGCCCACAAGTATTTTAGGTTCAGATGCCATAAACTTGCGTACTTTCCAAAAAGGAGAATGTATTGAGAGCAGATCATTTTCAGGGGACAGGACAGGGAGATAAGTCATCTCCCAAATCTACATATTTTGGGATGAAATTATTTTAGCTTTAACTGTCTGCAACTAAGCTTGTTGCACATATGTGTCGCGTCAAGAAGAGATTAATATTCTTACAATCAAGGAACGTACAAATTTGCACACTGACAAAGAGGCAGTGAAATTCCTTCTCAAGCCATGTGACATATGTAGCAGAAATTAGGCAATAGGAACAGCTTATTCCTTGGAATGCATGGAGTCTGAAGCAGAGTTAATTTATTTATTTTTTTTTTAATTGAAAGTTTTATAAATTTTACAAAAAAACAAAAACAATACAAAACAAAAGACAACATATACAAAAAAGAAACTAAACATTACATATATATAAAAAAAAAACCCCATCCCCCACCCCTCACAAAAACCCTCCCTTCCCCCCCCTGAGCTTCCCAGAGCAGAATATAGGCTTAATTAAAAATTAAGAAATAAAAATAAAAAATTAAATTAAAAAATTTATATTATATATATATATAAAAAATATCTATATATATATATAAAAATAAAACTTATAAAAAAGCTATGTGATATTTTTGTATACCCAATCTAAATTGCATAAATTTTATCCATTTGTCCCAAACAGCAAGGAACTTCTCTTGCGTTTGTTGCTTTAAGAAAGCCGAAATCTTTGCCATTTCCGCCAGATAAGCTACTTTAAGAAACCATTCCTGCAATGTAGGCAAAGATTCCTTCTTCCAATATTGTCCTACTAACAGCCTAGCGGCTGTAATCAAATTTAACATCAATACAACCTCCTTTGTATCACAATCTGTAACAATGCCTAACAAAAATAATTGCGGAGTAAATTTTACCCTCCTTCTAAAAATTCTCTGGATATTCCACCATATTTTGATCCAAAATGCTTTTATCTCTCTGCATGACCACCAAATATGATAATAGGAAGCATCCTTATAACCACATCTCCAACATTTGGGTTGCACGTCAGGGTACATAAGAGACATTTTTTGTGGATCAAGGTGCCATCTATAAAACATTTTATAAAAATTCTCCCTAAGGTTCTGTGCTTGTGTAAATTTGACATTTCTCACCCAAATGGTTTCCCAAATGTCCAATGAGACTGGGACACCAAAATTCTGCGCCCATCTAATCATACAATCTTTAATTAATTCCGTTTCTGAGTCCATTTCAACTAATACCCCATAAATTCTCTTGATATGGGTTTGTCTTTGATCCTTAACTTGCTTAATAAGATTTCCATCTTCTCTAAGAAAACCCAATTTACAATCCACCTTCCATTTATCTACTAGTTGCCTATATTGAAACCAGGAATAAATAATATTTTCTTGCGCTAAATCTTCCCGTATTCTTAACTGCCAGTTTTGCCCATCCCATCTAAGTAACTGACTATAAGACACCATGTCCATTTTTACTCCTCTTTTTATTCCTTCTATCGCATGCCAAGGTATAGCCCATAATGGAACTTTAAAATCACTTTTATAATATTTTCTCCAAATCCTAAGTAAAGAAATTCTTAAAATATGAGATTTAAAGACCCAGTCCATTTTTTTATTAAATATTAAATAGGCATGCCACCCATAAAGTAAATCCCATCCCTCTAAATGAAGTATCTCAGGATTTGTCAAATTTACCCAATCACTGATTAGTGTTAAAACCACCGCATCGTAATATAATTTCAAATTTGGTACCTTAAGTCCACCCCTCTCACGGAAGTCTTGCATAATTTTAAACTTAACCCTTGGCTTTTTCCCTGCCCAAATAAATTTATTAAGACCCTTCTGCCACTCACTTAAATTAATCTCATTTTTCAAAATCGGTAACATTTGAAACAAAAAAAGAAACTTGGGTAGAATATTCATTTTTATCACTGCAATTCTTCCCATGAGGGATAATTGCAACTTCTCCCAATTCTTCAAGTCCTTCTGTACCCTGACCCACAACCTTTCATAATTATTTTTAAATAATTTTACATTAGAAACAGACAACATCACCCCCAAATATTTTACCTTATTAACAATCTCAAAACCCGTCAAGTTAGCCAAAATCTGCTTCTCCTGACTAGACATATTTTTAGGTAAGATTTTAGTCTTATTTACATTAATCTTGAAACCCGAAACCAAACCATAATGATGAATCAACTGTAATAAGTTTACTGCAGAATAATCAGGTTGCGACAAAGTAACAACCAAGTCATCCGCAAAAGCTCTCAACTTATATTCTTTTTTGTTAACTTCTATTCCTTTAATTTCCTGAGACTCTCGAATTTTAATCAATAATATTTCCAGT